AGTAGATAAAGAAGTGTGAGGGAATACGCAAGTTGAAGATGAAGGTTAGTGTGCATATTCAAGCTTTCGAAGATATCAAGGAGTGAATACAACTGCACCGCCATTGTGATTGATTTTCAGCCATATCGCCAAGAGACCTCAACTACGGATTCTTTTCGTCTTGACGACCCCAATAAGGTAGTAGTAATTAATAAATATTCCATCTTCTCGATAAGTCTTTCAATACTTTGTGACTTTTATCTCTCCTGAAATAGAATACAGAGTTATGAGTATCTAGGATGAATTGTTTGGTTGTAACTCAATGGTACTTAAGCATGTCTTACAATACAACAGAATGTACGTCGGTGAAATTTTAGAAGACCAACCTATGTGGGTTATTTGGAGTGATCGATAATTTACGATGGCCATGACATAGAAAGAGGTTGAACAGACTACTTCTTGAATGCATAATGGTTTGAATTTCTAATGCTTCAACTATGCCCAGATGTCTCAGCCTAACTCCTTTCGAGTGACTTGGTAAAACATTGTACAAAGTTTTGAAGGACTTATCAAAAGGAGCCAAATGTTCTGAGTTTACTAAGTGTTGAGTTACAGAGCTGACGATGTATATCCGTTCTCCCCTCATCACCCAAGTTGGATAATGTTCGCAAGCGCGTTGCATAAGCTGGTGTATGATACGGTCGATCTACTCCGTCCCATAGTAGCAAATAAACTGATATACAAACAGTAATGTGGCCCAACCCCGCAACTTATCCTTTGAGTTTCTGACAGGAGAATGTGTTCCTAAGATTGGTGGCAACGAATGTTGTATTTATGGACCTTGATGGTCTGCCGTATTATCTCCCTTGAATTCGCTGTTCAGTAGTAAAAGCTTCCTCTGAGCAGTATGTATGCATACTGTGGAGTTTTTTGGCTTTAGATCCTAACCTATAAATTTCAGTGGGTACCCATTCTTCATCAGGATTTTCAGTTCATCATGGATGGTATCCTCCATGCATATCATTCATATTCTTCAAAAGAGTGAATTGATACGATTCCTCTCTCTGCTTAAGGGCCTACAGCTTTAAAATTAATAAACTATTCGCTCTAAGTGGGCTTTCTGTAAATAGATGTTTGAAGTTGGAGGTCAAGAAAAATAAATTTCGAGTCCTACTCTTCTAGAGTGAATATGATAAGGGGATGAGAACTTTTGAAGCAGGTTTTAGAGATCCGTATTCATTTCACAAATAATAAATGTACCACCTATGTATCTTTAGTAGAAATGAAGCTCACTGATTATTTGCGATAATGTCATGTCTTCCAGGTTTGCCATAAACCAGTCAAATTGGAAGGGTTCTAGAGGTGATTCGCCTATCTTTAGATTTCGTTGCTAAGTCTGAAGGGCACGTTCAAAGTACATCTGAGAAGTTCCTTTAGATAGTGATTTGAGATACTAATATTTAATTTATGCAACTGAATGAAGCTAAACAGGAAAAAGTGGTTTCCGTTAATGGGACATTTGTAAACAAGGAGATGACATTCAGATAAGTCATCTTCCCTGATAGACATTTTTTATGAAATCAATAAAGCGAAATGTTCCACGCAGGCTATGTTTTAAAATTTTATTCTTCATTGGATCCAGTATTTTGACCAGCCATTTTGCAACTGAATGGTAGGGAAAGTTGGTCATCACTAATATCAGAAGAAGGGTAGCACCTTCTTTGTGCACTTTGGGTAGACCATATAGTCAAAGGATAGAGGAACATGATGGACGGAACAGAAATGCATACTCAACTCTGTAACAGAACACAACTCATAAGATTGAACTCTTTTTGTTAAGTCCTTCAGCCTTCTGTCCAAAATGCGATAAAGTCATTCAAAAGGAGTGACGCTATGACATCTAGAGATAGCTGAACCATTAGTCATTCGAAAATCCAGACCATTATTATCCATTCAAAAAGTAGTATTTACAACCTTTCTTTGTCATGGTCATCGTAAATTATCGATCACTCTAAATAACCCACATATGACGTAACTACTTTGGAGGTAGTACTTATCATGGACTGACATCAGTTGGGGAACCATTGAAAACCTGGGAGTAATGGACAGCCGTTTCGTCCTAGTGTGGGACTCCTCAGTAGTAAGCACCCATGACTGGGCTAGGCATCGAACTCGGGGCCTACAGGTTTCACGGTGAACGTCCAAACCGTTCAGCCACCGGGTCGGTTTTAAGTGGTTCACAGTTTCCAACTTCAGTCAATTCACGATATAACGCGACTATCATCGAAAGTTGGCATCCGACTGGTTGACCCTACAGGTCACAGCTTTTCATTAGAATTTCGTGATAATGATTTTGTTGATTTCCCCATAACGTAACTTTCTTTTGTGATGCAATCTATATTTACCTTTGACCAAGAACATATTTTACAACAATTTAAATAATACGAACAAGTTATGACTACCCTTTATCTTTCCTTGGTCAGTATAGTAACAGAAAGGCAGGTTGTGATGTTCTTAAACAACACGCAACCAGTTCTAAGTAAATTCATATACACCAGTACTAACTTATCAATACCTCATCTCTATGTAATTACTGATATTTTGTCTCTCCTAACAAGTGTCCCAGCAACAGAAAACCATTTGCTTACTGTGACTTTATCCGATCCCATGACACATGTTGGTATTCGAAATCATTACTTAAAAAAGCTTCTTTTCTTTCAATATCCCCTTCAGAGTATACTTCAGATTCAATAACGAAATCTACAGGGAGGGAATGGATTCTTCTCTTCTTAGCTGATTGCTTGATTGCAAGCCATGAAAAAACTGACTTGTCAACAGCAATCAACAAGCTTCATATCCGTAAAAAGTGCATTGATGATAGCGTCACATTTTGTGATGACAGTATGAATCTTGAGAACCCACTTCATATTTTCAACAAAGCCCATCCCTCAATCAAATTCACTCTAGAGTCAGAATCTTCATGGTCAACTTAAAGAAAAGATGATAGTTCACTTCGTAGATCTATTAACAGAAAACCTAAGTGGAACGGATTGTTTATTAATTTTCAGAGTTCGATCCATCTAAGCAGAAAGACATTTCATATCCAATTTCCTTTCTCTGAGGATCAGGAAAAGATGGAAAGAGAGGTTACAGTTGACAAATAACTGCAAAATCTCTGAAGAACTTCGATAAATATCTGTGTAACCGCAAAGATATCATTTATTCTGCTAGAGTATCAATCTTCATCTCTAAAACGGCTACTCAATCGTTCCGTGTTAGCTCAGTCATACTTACAACCGTTTAAGTATCACTTAGCAAATCCATCCGATCAGCAATATCTGACAATCTGTCAATTTCAATGCCCGCATCTCCAAACGCTAGTACTCATTGAATACTTGAAGGAGGTTTATGTATCCAAAGCTATTAGAATAGACGGTTGTCTAAGTCCTATCTCTCACAGACTTTCCGTATGTCATTCAAGTTGTGAAGCTGTTCAGTCACCAAGTTGATAAATTGCCTTCATGTTAGATAAGGAAGTGACATCTATCACTTTTTGTTTTAAATATAATAAAGTCTGCTTGAGTAGGTTTTCAATGGTGTCTTCCTGACATGTTCAAAAACTTCTGGCAACTGACAAAATCAACATAGAACCTCGCACACAAGCGCATCTTTTGAAGTTACCACCCTTCATAGTAGTATACAAAGAACAAGTGCATAGGAACAGAGTGATGTCAAAGTAGATAAAGTGGAGAGAGAGTAGGCAAGCTGAAGATAAAGGTTAGTGTGAATATTCAAGCTTTAAAAGATATCAAGGCGTGAAACATCTGCGCCACCAATGTGACCGATTTCCAGCCATGTCACGGTTCTACTCTTATGATTCGCTACGATGTAAGAAGCATCGAAAAGGATGCGAAACTTTCTTCAAGTAGAAAAGAGCATATGTATCCAAACTTCATGTTTTCGGAGGTAATATGATTCACAATAGGGAAATATTCTAGACGAACAAATGACCATAATGGTCAGTAAACTTAAAAGAGGGCACAAAAGAACTAACGGCACCCCATTGGAAAAGTCCTGACTACCACAGCATAGAGATGTCAGGAATAGTATAGTAAGAAATAGTGATTATCATTTGGCTATCTGAGATAGCGGTAGTTCGGCAGACTAATATTTATACTGGGGCCGGAAACCTGGTGATCGCTTGTTCGAATTCGGCTGTGGTTGAAATTTTCATCTCATCTTCAATCATCATCCAGTATAAGACACAGCAATGTCTAGAAGCAAATAAAATAATGAACAGGAGCATACAAAACACAAGAATTTAAATGCCCATTGGAAATGTCCTCAGTATATATCCAAATCGTATACAATTATCAAATAGTTGTAGTAGGTTTATAAAAATGAAAGCAACAGTACTACCCACGGTTATGCAGCAGTAAAATTCCGGAAAGCTGTTTAACGAGAGTGACACCACTTTGTTGAGCACGTGTTTGACCTTATATAATGATCCGAAAATAGTGTCACTTTTCTTATGATCCCGAACACAAATGATCCACGTGCAGCATCAAATGGGGTGTGAAAACAGCAATTATAAACTGGCATGGTGTAATGACAATAAATTAACACATTCAAAAACAGTAAGCAGGAGATAGAATGTTCTGTGTCAGGATAATCAAACAAGAAATAAATTATACAGTCAATGTTAAATGTTACAAGGAATACAATATGAAATGCTTGTTACAACTCCATGACATCCTATTGTGTGGTCATATGCGATTGCTCGAATTTCTTTAATTATTATAGTCTACCATTCTAGATTTGTTTAAGGGTATTGTGTTCTACTTTAGTTGGAGATTAGCAATGGAATTTGGGATGATCGTTTCGTTCTATTTAAGACTCATCAGCTGGATGTACCGCACTTCAGTGAGTGATGGAGTAGTTCCTACTCACAATCGAATCAAGTACCCATCGTCTAAACGCCAAAGCATTATCCACTAGACTACTGCAACACAACAACCACTTCAATAAATTATATTTCCACCTCCGGTTTTCTTCTTACAGTTTACTTTTTAAAGAATAACAAAAGAGAGAAAAGAATACAGTTTGCATTTGTACAAGTGTACACATGTGGTTGCTGCTAACCAGTGAATAGAGAAGAGAGAAGAAAAAGAGGTACATTTAATTACCATTTGTCAACAACAAAAATTTCTACTGAAAGTAGAATTCACCCATAAACAGTATCCGATATGTTGCCATGTAAACTTTATCCAGGTTAACCCAACTCTAATGATCATTATTTCAAACAAATAGTGTATAAAATGAATAATTTTGTGATTAATTGAAAGATTAATCTCTTTATTTATTATAATATTTTAAATCAAGATTATCAACATTAAGCTTATCTCGTACAACATATCGGATACCGGCAGAGAGTATTGTTTGTTAACATTAAAATGCATCAATCAATCAAATAAGTATTCAATGTTTCAATAGTATTAAAGTGATATTTGTTTAAAGTAATATTAAAAGTCAAGAAGAAAATTAATTATTCCATTATCATTATATATTGAAAAGAAATTCTAGATCAGAGAAAAAAAAATTTTTTTTTAAATTATTGTAGTTATATTTATTTCATAGTAATTCAATAAAGGAGATTATCAATATTAATGCTACCAATATAGCCACCTTACCAAAGGTAAACACAACTCTCCGACTAGAATCTAATTAGACAAGATGAAATAATTGATGAAAGTATAAGACAAGGGAAAGCAGATCTACCATATAACTTTTATAACAACAAAATTATAACTTCTAAACTAAAGAAAATATCCATATTAATGAGAATTATTTTTTTTTCACTGAAACCTGAGGATTTAATAAAATTAGTAATGATAATAATCATATTCATGATAGTATAGAAAATAGGATTAAAATCTGAAGGTAAACGCATGAATTATCTAATCAGGTAATAAAATTTATAACTAGTTAATTATCTTATTAAATCATCAGGTGTTAGAATACTTTGAATTATTTTCAAAGGAATATTGAATGTATCATCATTTACAAGAACAATATCATAAAGTGATTGATATTTCTCCAAATTCTCTTCAATCTAATAATGAAAATAATGTATAGTTCTCATTTATTATAAACTTTCATTAAATATGAAATAAAAAATGTCAATAAAAATCTGGTCAGCAATCGAACCTCATAGTTCAGTTGGTAGAGCATCGAGTCAGAAACTCAATAGTCGCTGGTTCGAATCCGGCCGTATACCAAATTTTCATCTCACCTTCAATCATTATCCAGTATCAATGACTAGTCTACCAAACCGTCGCTAACTCAGATAGTGTTATGGTTTCGAAGGCTAATAGTTATATGTATATATTCCGGGACGAATAGAGAGAAGACCGAAGCTGGCAGATGGGAGAGTGTTATTACTCCAGGAATATAATAATAATAATTCAATCCAAAACACGTGAATAAGTATAAACATGAAAAATGACCCTGCCCTAAATTTGAGGCATTTGAATAGTACGGGTAAAGATAAACCAATCAGCGATTTACATTACAATGGGGGCATAAAGTAGACTACTAGTCATAGCGTTAAAATGGTGTGGGAATGACACGTTAAAAATGTTCAGATCGATAATAATGTTTTATACAAAACTGGGGCATCACAACAGATAGTCAAAATGATAATCTATGTAATGCTAGCCTTTTCCTCTGATTCAGTTACATTTGGATTTAGATGAGAAGTCCTGACTAACCAGTCAGTGTGAATACAATCAAGCTATAGTAACGCATCACGAATTCACATCGTAGTCGTTGGGCGAAATCCGCCTTAGTGATTGAAGTGAAATAAAAATCTAGTCAACAATAGGACCTAGTAGCTCAGTTGGTACAGCACCGGGCTGGTAACCAGATGGTCGCTGGTTCGAATCCGGCCGCGAACTAAATTTACATTCCATCTTCAATCATCACTCACTATAAGTGTAAACTGCGTGAATCATGTGCAATACACTTCGAACAATTTAATAAGGCATGAGAACATCAAAGGAGGTCAAGTAGGAAAGCTGCATGAAAGGCCAAATAACAATGGAAATCAATAGAGCGAAAATAATAATACAACGAATTTGATTTTGAAATTGAATTCAACTAAGAGATTTATTGCGAATTAATACTGCTACTTAGAAAGACTTACTATGCAGTTACGGTTCAGCCAATAGAAACCACTAAGCCTGTATACTCTTGTAAACCCTTACAAGTATGTGAACGACAATTTTACATTCTAATGGATCCAACAATTCAAGCAGGAAGAATTCATAGAAACATATTCCAAAGTGGCTTCAAAAGTAAATTGAATCACCTGAACTCATAAACGTCGGTAGATGTTCAAGTTTTTCGATCGCAAAGCATATCATTAAGTCACAAGATTGACATGGCTACTTCCTTCACACCTGTTTACAAAATGTGTTGGCAACGTATCAATTAATTTGTTGAGGCCTTAGCTATTTAAGAAGTTTAAACAATCTTTGTGTATTCAAAACAATCTGTTATCATATTACTAGATCTCCCATGATGAATCCAATTTTGAAACCAAGTTTCGATGAACTATTATTTTCACTTTATTCATTTTTATTGTTATTCTGCCCTTAATTCAACCTTCCAACTTGACCTCTTTTTATATTATCAGCCCATGGCTTTTTGAAACTTCATATCATCATAAATATCTGTGACAAGTATATATGGTGTCGTGAAATGATGGAGAATATTTGTAGCTCAGGTGGATGGTCTTGGTTGTATTGTGTTCTCTGAGCTGGGTTGTTTAATCGTGAAGCTTTCATCGCCTTGCTAGACGACATCATCAGCACTAACTTCAGTATGAAGTGAGCTATCAATATCTCTCCGTTAGCGATTTAGAGGCTTGCACTGACGACGTGGTCTGTGATTGGTTGTTTCCTTCGATTGTTGTGTCATTGATTGTACAGACTTTCCTGTTGGTTGTTCCTCTGCTTGACCTGATCTCTGACCTTCCTGTCGTTTATCATTTTTTTATTGGTTGATAGATTGGGTCTATGTCTATACATCTATTGATTGCTGACTGACTGACCTGAATGTCAAGCTTCTAGAAATTCTCTGATATTCTTTGTGTTTCCTCTGTCCAAAATTTCTACATTGTCGAAATTGAATTCATGTCCATAATTATCCACGTGCATTGAAATGAGTGACGAAATGTCGTGGCATTTAATAGCCAATTGGTGCTCATGTAGACGAAGGCGAAGAGGGCGACCACTTTTGTCCATTGTAGTCTTGACTAAAGTTATTGCAGTTGATTTCGTAAATGATATTGGGTTTGTCTTCTTTGGTTGTTGCATCCTTTGGTCTGCATAATAGTGTTTGCAGGGAATTTGTTGGTTTATGAGCCACAGCAATTCCAAGTGGTCTCAGTAATCTTGTTGTGATTTCTGATATATTCTTTATATATGGTAGGACGATGCGTTTGTTGATTTCTGTCGATGACTTTGTAGTTGGTGATGCACGGGATAGGCAACCAGATCAATAAAACCTTGAACAAACTCTTCAAAGCAGAAAAAATAACAAAGCAAGACAGATGGTGTATGAAATCGAATGGACCTATCCTTCCTCGGTTCTACGACAGACCAAAACTACACAAACCCAATATCCCTCTACGACCAATAGTCTCACTTCCGGGAACTCCAACATACAACATATCAAGAGAACTTTCGAGAAAACTGAACACCTCGTCCAATCATGCGGACATTTCATCAGGTCACCAACAGAATTCTTAGAAAAGATCAAAAATACTAACATAGAAAACGAGTTAATGATATCCTTCGATGTTACAGCACTATACACATTCATCGAACCTCAATTGGCCAAGGAAACGATATCCCTCCTGATCAATGAAGACAAAAACCTTTCAGAACGCACAAAACTCAAATGTTCAAGTCTGATGGAATTCATAGACCTTTGTATGACAACATACTTCCAATTTAACGGCAAGATATACAAACAGATGAAAGGAACTCCAATGCGATCACCGATATCCGGATTAATAGCAGAAGCAGTGATGCAGAGACTATAAGCCATCATCCTACCTACTATTGCAGAAGGGACACCCAAGTCTTTGCAAAAACTGGCGCGGAATTACACTGATGTCCACCCCAAGCAAAATACTAGGCACCATCATCCTGGACAAACTAAAAGATGCGCTGGATTCAAGAAGTACAAATCATGTGCGGATCAAATTGCAACGCTACGTATCATCATAGAACAAAACGTGAAATGTCAGTCGACTCAATCTCAACTTAATGATTTTCAAAAGGCCTTCGATGGCGTCGACTGAGAAGTACTTTGCCTGGCAGCTGCTTCAACTCTACAGAGTACCACAAATCCTTATAAACATTCAACAGTTATATGACGACGCCACATGCCAAGTGATCCAATATAGAAAGCTCAGTGACGCCTTTGAAGTAAAGACAGGAGTAAGACAAGGCTACCTACTATCACCGATGAGCTTCCTGATTGTGGTGGACTGGATCACGCAGCAAACCATGACGAGTGAGATGAGTATACGCAAGCTGGACCAATGAAAAGAGCCTAGAAGAAGATTTGGATTTCGCCGCCGACGATGATTTATATCTAATGTCTTGTCGCACAAACTCGAGGATCTACAAGCGAAAACCAACAAGTTGACAGAAGAGGCGAGGCGAGGCGAGGTAGCGAAGACGGGACTGACTTCAGGTGAACGTAGTGAAGACAGAGGTGATGAAGATACACAACGAACAACAGCATGAACAAGAGGCACCAACCATCATCAACGGGAGGAAGCTAAAGAAAGTAGTCTCCTTCACCTACCTAGGCAAGGCAGCATCGTTTCAACTACATGGGGTAGCGCCACAGATGAGGATGTCAAAGCAGCCAGGATCGGAAAGACAGGCTTTCATCATTCTGAAATCAGTGTGGAGATCTACTGCACTCAGCATAAAGAGCGAGATCCAGATTTTCAACACCAATGTCAAGTCAGTGCTTCCATGGGATGGTTGAGAGACTTGGCGCGTTACGAAAAGCATTTACAACAAACTACACACATTCATCAACAGCTGCCACCTACGCTCACTCGATACTGACACTGAAGATCAGATAGGTGGTCAGAATAATAAGAATAAGCAACAAGGAACTCACTCTCTCTGGCTTGTAACGAACCAACCAAGAACCTATTACCCAACAAATATGGAGAAGGAAGTGGAGATGGATCGAGCATATACTGAGATCAGACTCGCGAGTGGAATGCAGAGGGGAAACGATGTGTTGAGCGTCGAAGGGTGACATGGAGGAAATCATCAGAAGAAAAAATGAAAGCTTGTCGGCAGTTGTGGAGCCAAGTTCAAAAGAATCCAGAGAAGAGAGTGAGATGGAGACGTGCTACTGAAGCCCTATGTTCCACTAGGAACCCAAACGACAAATGATAACAATAAAAACTAGACTTAGCTCTAAATTTTTCCTCCACCCTATCACCATGATCGCTACCACTACTATGAGTAGTAGTCATCTTGTCTCAGATTCTCTGCCTACTGGTGAGTTCTTTCATCTTATTGGTAAGACATTTAAGCAAGCCTACTTTAAATGAGATGATTTGAAGTCTAAGTAACAGTTCGAATGCAAAGTTTTCCTAAAGACACCAGTACCTGAACTTGCATCTTGCTTTCGCTTAATCTTCCAATCCAACATTGCTAACTCCCCTTCACTTCACTTTCTAATTCTCAGGTTCACTACCCAATTCACATCCAAACTACATCTTTACAGTACGGATATATGTTTGAAGGCCTATCCGTTCTCTACTATCCATACATATGCCTGCGACGATAAGGCGATATTAGTGATACCATTGTAATCCTTTCAGTTTGTTTATATGTTTCATTTTGAAACTTAAAAACTGTAGACATCAGGCATAATTATACTTCTGACACGATTGTCTCGATGATTACCTTAGTTCGATGAGTCAGGTCATTGGGAAGAGAGGAAAAATATCAACAGTTACATTCTTCATCACCTAATTCATCTGCGGACATCTATCTACCCCAAACCCCCCTCCCACTAGTCCCTTCATAATAATTTTCACAGTAATCCCCTACAATTTCAAAGACCTTTGACTGCATCATCGATGTATAACCGAAACATAATAAATTACCAGACTGAGACGTGATATTTGTGTGCAAAAAAACAAAATACTCATTTATTAGCCCTATCATAGCATGAGTATGAGATTTTAATTAAAGGTTGACAAAGTTAATGTGAACTCCTCTCGTATTCCAAAGTATCAACCGTGCATTGAATTCTACTGAATAAGCATATAGCTAACACTCGCTTTTACTGAACTGGAAAAAAAGTATGATAGTTTAAGTATTGCCCTGTTCATATAGGTTTTCTCTATATACATCATTTATAAATCCATCCTGTCGTCGATTACTTAATACGTCTATGTAAGGTAAGCAGTCAGTCATCATCTTCTACACATGTCAAGGTTATATTATTATTATCATTATTATTTGTTCTGCGGGTTCCTAATGGAACATACGGCTTCAGTAGCACCTTGCCATTTCACTCTGTTCTCTGCAATCTTTTGAACCTGGCTCCACGACAGCCCACAAGCTCTCATTTCCTCCTAGCAAGATCTCCTCCATGTCACCCTCGCCTCAGACGCCCAACTCGTCCCTTCCCATCGGGGTTCCACTCGAGGGCCTGACGCGTGATGTCCCAAGTTGGCCCTCTCAGTGTATGCCCAGTCCACCTCCACTTCCTTCTACTGCATATTTGTTCAGCGATGGGTTCTTGGTTGGTTCGTTGCCCGACCAGAGTTCCTAGTTGCTGATTCTTTCTGGCCATCTCAGCTTCAGTAACGAGCCAGCGTAGGCAGTTGTTGATGAATGTCTGTAGTGTGTTGGAAATCCCTTTCGTAACGCGTCGCCAAGTCTCTGAACCATATAACAGCACTGACTTGACTGAATTGGTGTTGAAAATCCGCATCTTGTTCCACATGCTGAGTGCAGTGCAGTAGATCTCCATACTGGTTTCAGGCTAGTGAACGCCTGTCTTGTTTTTCCGATTCTGACTTTGAAGTCCTTATCTGTGCCACCTGTAGTTGAAACAGTGCTACCAAGATAGGTGAAGGAGGCTACTTCCTTTTAGTTTCTCCCGTTGATGGCTATTTGCTACTCTATCATTCAATCGGTTAAGAATTAGAGTGGACTGATTTGGGTTATTTATACCTTCAATATAGATAGGCTTAACCAATTAATCTCTCGGCTACGTTTTTCATGTGTGACATAAATGTGTCGGGTAAAAGAGGACCGAAGAGACTTCCCGTGGCAACACCGACAACCTAATGAAAATGTTCATCCTTGATTACAACTTTAATGTTATCTGCAAATAAATAATCACTATCATCAATATCAACAGAGGACCAGGCATTACTGCGTAACAGTCCAACTTGACACACCTCATATCACCAAATCAAGTAAAACAACAGTGAAGTGGATGATGAAAAAAATAAACTCCAGTCAAAACAAATACTAAGTACTAAAACAGAGAAAGGAAGAATGAGAAAATAGTGAGATTTGATATAACGTCTAAGATGAAGATAATGCATGTATACATCTGTGCCACCGACATCGGTTCCCAGCCATATCACCTAGAGTCACTATCCAACCACTCGTTCCTCTTCTCCCACGGACCCCAACCACCCAGTCTGCATCGCCCCACATGGCTCAAACAAACAGTCAAACACTTCGTACACTCATCCCATACCATGTTTCAGTCTGCCCACCTCAGGCCTTTTTTCAGTCTGAACCTACTTCGGCCAACATTGTGTGACGAGGCAATCGGTGACTAGGCATATGTAACACATATCGGAGCCAACCATCTCAGTCGATGAAGATTCACAGCCACATCAACTGTCTTACCTCTCCTGTCTAAAACTCTCCACCTGTCTTCTGCGTTACTCACGTGGTGACACCACGAAATACGACCTATACTACGAGGCCAACAGTGGTCAAACACTTCAAGCTTTCTCATATCTTCCACCTTCAATGGCCATGTTTCACAGCCATACAGTAGAACAGACCGGACTGCTGTGTAGCACACTCGACCCTTGATAGACAATCAGATATCACGGTGGCGCGGCAGGTGGCGTAAGTTGGTGAAGCCAACTGAGCGTTTTGTATTTGTGCAGAGATTTCATCGGCAACTAACCTACCAGGTTTGATCTTATTTCCCATGTAAGTGAAGTGGTCTACAAACTCAACCACTTCTATCTCTATTGTTAGCCACGATGGGGCACCGTTGAAGACCAATCATGGAGCAGCAATTCGCATTTTGGTGGTGAGAAACACATCCCAAACATTCTCAAATTCCCACTCAAAGTGTTCAGAAAACTGTGCATCTTGTCAGCGTCTTCACTTAACAGGACTATGTCATCTGCATATTCTAGGTCTGACGAAAATTCTCCTGTGATTAGGTCAACATCTGTGTAATTAGGTGACGAGAGGGAGACCTTCATGAGAATATCTCTGATAAAATTGAGTAGGAATGGAGACGGTGGGCACCCTTGATGTACTGGTGAGCATAGCTCCCTCGACATCTCACCATAGGCTCTAACAACCCCATGGTGTACATAAAAGTAAGGAATACTTATATAACCACTTGATTTAATATGATTAAGAAGTTTTAATCAGATGCTACGGTAACTTTCATTTATAGAAAATACACTTCACATCTAGTACTCATGAACAAGATTATTAGACGAATCGTTAACCCAATGAACTTTGAGGGGAAAAGAAACTGTTTTATTTCAGTAAAAGATGAACCAAGATGTTCGGATAAATCATGTTTAGCCAATAATCTCAGATAGCAAAAATATATAGAGAGAAGGGTAGCGGTATATATCGATAAAAAGAGATATGTGATAAGAAGCATTTGATACTCGAAGAATTCTCAGATGATGAAGAATATTTGTAGCTAAGGAAGATAATTTTGATGATATTCTAGTCTCTGAGCTAGATGATTTAGTCGTAAAGCTTTCATGGTCATTTCAGACACTATTAACAGCACAAACTTTAGAAAGAGACAAGATTTTCACAGAAACAATCACATACAAGGAAGGCCATTAGGACAAGTTACTTAGCCACTTGTTTCTGAGGTTTGTGTTGATGATGTTGTCTACAATGATAATGAAAGCTTATGAATTAAATAGCCCATCTTAAAAGAGCACACCATCAAAGAGATATACCTCTTCTCCACTTATTAAGCAAAACTTGATTAGCTCGAAGGTACCACTAAAACCTTCAACAGCACAACAGAAATGATTTGTAGCTTAAGTATACATGCCTCAATGTGGCTAGCTGCCGACGGTATTGCATTTCTGCCTTTCATCTAAAAGAGTCAATCACTTACAAGAGTTTAGTGAACACTTTTTAAATCCGAATAGCGTTTACGCAACACTTTCCCAATTTGTGCTACTGACTACTAATAGTCGTATATGATACCTCTGTAATTACATTTCCACATATATCTAAGTACACACCTAACCCTAACCTGTAATAACTATGACTATGACAGTATAATTCAGCTAATGAAGCCGGTTAAAAAATCTCATTCGCAGACACTTCAGGTTTATTGGTTATAAGTTTCGATACGAAATCAAAACGCATTCAGGAACAACATGCACATTAATATAGTAGGCAGTGAGCTTCACCTATTGTGTGTGAAGGCTAATAATGATAATACCTGGAAGTTCAAACCTCGATAGGTGGAGTGGGGTTCGAACCCATGATTTATCAACTGTAAGCCTTGGTACGTAGACAAATGAATCACACCTCCACGAAGTTTGTTGCTTGTAACATGTGATGAGATAAGATAGAAAGAATGAAAATGAACTAATATGCATATCATCATGAAGAAAATGACAACTTACTGCTTCATTTAAAAAACCAATACGTAGTACAGTTCCCAATTGTCCTGTTGAATCATCGACTACAGCACCATCAGCCATGTGCACATCACCAGTAGAATCACCAAGTAACAGAACATTAGGTCGTTTAGGTAAACCATTATCAGCAACAGTGTTAGCTGTTTTATTGAATATGTGAATGATTGGTGATGTGAATCCCGTTAGTTTACCCTATAACGTCAGAAAATAAAATGGTGGTATTAAGCAGATATTGTCTTCAAGATGCTACTGAATTCAAACTGAAAAATACACATATAAATCCAATTCTGGCATTATAAACGTCATCTCTGGCGCCAACTAGCCAGATATCCGACTATTTATTAAAAGAGTATACTGTACTGTGCTCCGTTTCCTTCAGTTATACAACAGCGAAACATCGTTTTTAAAGTAGAAAATATAAAGTGGTTACAAACAGCACTGTTGACTAGTGGTGGAATCGACAGATGAGAAATATTGGGGCTACACAAAGGGCACTCGGTAAGAAAAGCAAGTTAGTCGAAATGAACAGTAGTGTACTTTTTCTAGCGTCATACTTAAATGCAGTACAAAATTCATGTGAAAAAATGTACTTCTTTGTTTATATCACATTTATGTACGAGTCGTTTGTTGATTTAAAAATAAAATTATATGAGCTTGTGATCAAGACTGCAATTCGAAACCAATGCAGTACGACATTGCATAATATTACCCATTTATGCAGATTACAGTAAGATCACTATAAACGCATAACCCGACAATTTAGGTTGTTTAGTGAGGAGAATATCGCTGATGTTGATAAAATTCCTATGTCTAGCAACACTTAATCCATTGACATCCATCCATCCATCCAGGTCAACATACGACAAGGCATTACTGCGTAACAGTTCAACTTGCCACACTTCACAAGAGTACATCAAGTAAAAAGGCAGTGAAGTGGAAGATGAAAAAAAACAAAATCCAGTCAAAACAAATACTAAGTACTAAAACAGAGAAAGGAAGAATGAGAAAATAGTGAGATTTGATATAACGTCCTAAGATGAAGATAATGCATGTATACATCTGTGCCACCGACATCGGTTCCCAGCCATATCACCTAGAGTCACTATCCAACCACTCGTTCCTCTTCTCCCACGGACCCCAACCACCTAGTCTGCATCGCCCCACATGGCTCAAACAAACAGTCAAACACTTCGTACACTCATCCCATACCATGTTTCAGTCTGCCCACCTCAGGCCTTTTTTCAGTCTGAACCTACTTCGGCCAACATTGTGTGATGAGGCAATCGGTGACTAGGCATATGTAACACATATCGGAGCCAACCATCTCAGCCGATAAAGATTCACAGCCACATCAACTGTCTTACCTCTCCTGTCTAAAACTCTCCACCTGTCTTCTGCGTTACTCACGTGGTGACACCACGAAATACGACCTATACTACGAGGCCAACAGTGGTCAAACACTTCAAGCTTTCTCATGTCTTCCACCTTCAATGGCCATGTTTCACAGCCATACAGTAGAACAGACCGGACTGCTGTGTAGCACACTCGACCCTTGATAGACAATCAGATATCACGGTGGCGCGGCAGGTCGCGTAAGTTGGTGAAAGCCAACTGAGCATTTTGTATTTGTGCAGAGATTTCACCGACAACTAACCTACCAGGTTTGATCTTACTTCCCATGTAAGTGAAGTGGTTTATCCATTAACAAATTATCTCCTATTCTGTATGCTGTTGCGCTCACTCGTTGTGCATGGTATTCTCATCGAATATTGTATGTTCCTTCGGTTTGATTTCTCCCCAATCTATCTTTTTCCCCTTCCACGTGGAATATATATAATATATATATATATATAATATATATATATATATATATATATATACCTCGCCTGGTTAACTAGTTCACTAGTTACTAGCCGGCTAGCAACCCTACAACGGAAAACAAATCTAACCACTAAACAAACTTCAAAGCACAAACAAAATATCAAAAAATAAAAACAAAATTATTTCTCACTGCAATCGGAGAGGCGAAATTACGCCAGTTGGTGAAAGCCTTCAAGAGGCCTATGTGTCTTCTCTCGATGAAAGCGAAAGTAAACATGGGGACATGGAATGTCCGTACGATGTTTGAACCCAGCAAGGCAGTCCAGATTGAAAACGAGATGAGAAGGTATCACATCGAAGTGCTTAGGATTTGCGAAAGCAGATGGAATGGAAGTGGACTCTCCAAACTGTCAACTGGTGAATCAATAATCTACTCCGATATTGTCACCCAGACGACAACCACGAGCACACTGAGTTATGGAGTGGCTATCATGATGTCCCCAACAGCATTGAAGGCTCTTTCTCATGCAGTGGGAACCAATCTCCTCTTCCAGGATCATAACAGCAAGGTTCAACTCAAAAGGAAGGAAGGTCACAATCATACAATGCTACACTATGCACCTACAAATAATGCAGACCAAGAGTAGGAGAAGGAGGAATTCTACAGACAACTTCAATCAACACTCGACAAGATCCCACTCCAGTTGGCGACATCAAAGTTATAATGTATTGGGTGACATGAATACCAAACTGGGAGCGGACAATACAGGAAGAGAACTAACCATTGGTCGACAAGCACTCGGTGAGGTGATGAACGAGAATGGAGAATTGTTTGCACAATTCTGTGCATTCAACGATATGGTCATTGGAGTAAGGCACTGTGTTCAAGCACAAGGATATACACAAAGAGAGAGACATGGACTTCACCAGACACCAGGACACACTAAAAACCAAATCGACTTCATCTCAATCTCAAGAAAGTGCAGACGCAGTCTACTTGACACAAGGTCAACAAGAGGAGCAGATGTAGGTTCACATCACTCACTGTCTACTGCAAGCAACCTACCTTCCAAATCAAGTTAAAAGCCTTCAAGGAAGCTGGTGATAGACCACAGTTCAAGTACAACACTCAGAAACTGAAGGATGAAACTACAAAGGAAATCTTCATGGCAGCCATTAACACAAAATGGGAGACATCAAGGAACATCCATGAAGAAACCTGTGTGGATGAACACTGGAAGTCTTTGAAAGAGATGTGGAAAGAAACCTGCACAACCGTATTAGGAAGAAAGAAGATAAGGAATGGATCTCAATGGATACATGGAAGCTGATAGAGCAGGGAGAGGAGGATGGTGAAGCAGAAGATAAACCAGTGCAGTGCAAGGATGCACAACGAAAACACGAACTGAGCACAATGTATAAAACAATACACTGGACAAAGAAGTGAAGAAGAATGCACGCAAAGACAAAAGACACTTCTACAACATACCGGCAAGTGAAGTAGAACAGGCTGCAGGTAAGAGAGACCTGACAACATTGTATCAAATAACAAGATTACTATCTATCAGGGAAGAGATCAAAGTAGATGAAATCAATAAAAGGTGATGAAGGAAATTTAATTACCAAAGAAGAGAAACAAAGGAAACGATGAGCCGACCACTTCAAAGAGCTCTTGAATCGACCACCAACACCTGAAACCCATCCAGAAATACCACCTGCCGCCCAGCCACAGAACTACAAGTCAACATAAATCCTCCAACAAAAGTAGAAGTCTTGAGTGCCATAAAGATACTGAAATGTGGGAAAGCAGCAGGACCAGATGGAATCCCACCACAAGCACTCAAAACAGACACAGAGACAACAGCGGACATGCTCACACCACACCACTATTGCAGAATGTGTGGAAGGAAGAGAAGATACCTGGCGATTGGAAGAAGGGCTACCTTGTCAAACTCCCGAAGAAGGGAGACCTCAGTGTTTGCAAGAACTGGCGAGGAATCACTCTCCTGTCCACCCCAAGTAAAATGTTAGGCCGCATCATCCTGGAGAGGCTTAAGGATGCACTGGACTCAAAACTACGACCCGAACAGGCAGGCTTGATTCAGGAAGTAAAAATCATGTGCAGACCAAATTGCAACGCTACACCACGCACCATCATAGAACAGAGCATAGAATGGCAATCAGCTCTCTACCTCAACTTCATCGACTTTGAGAAGGCCTTTGACAGCGTCGACCGAGAGGTAATTTGGAAACTGCCACATTACTACAGAGTACCGCAAACCTTTATCCGCCTCATTCAACAACTATTTGAAGACGCCACATGCCAAGTAATTCACAATGGGAAGCTCAGTGATGCTTTTGAAGTGAAGACAGGAGTGAAACAAGGTTGCCTACTATCCCCCATGATATTCCTGATTGTGGTCGACTGGTTCATGCAGCAAACAGTTGGGAGCGAGAAGAAGGGGATACGCAGGCTGGACTGCGGAAAAGAACCTAGAAAATCTGGATTTCGCCGATGACTTGTGTCAAATGTCGCACAAACTTGAAGATCCACAGGCAAAAACTAACAAGTTGACAGAAGAGGCAGCAAAGATGGGACTTCAAGTGAATGCAAAGAAGACAGAAGTGATGATACCCAACCAATAACACCAACAAACTCCAATCACCATCAACGGGAGAAACTAAAAGGAAGTATCCTCCTTCACCTATCTAGGAAGCACTGTTTCAACTACAGATGGCACAGATAAGGACATCAAAGTCAGAATCGGAAAAACAAGACAGGCGTTCACTAGCCTGAAACCAGTGTGGAGATCATCTGCACTCAGCATGTGGGAAAAGATCCGTGTTTTGAACACCAATTCAGTCAAGTCAGTGCTGTTATATGGTTCAGAGACTTGGCGACGCGTTACGAAAGGGATTTCCAACAAACTACAGACATTCATCAACAACTGCCTACGCTGGCTCGTTACTGAAGCTGAGATGGCCAGAAAGAATCAGCAACTAGGAACTCTGGTCGGGCAACGAACCAACCAAGAACCCATCGCTGAACAAATATGCAGTAGAAGGAAGTGGAGGTGGACTGGGCATACACTGAGAGGGCCAACTTGGGACATCACGCGTCAGGCCCTCGAGTGGAACCCCGATGGGAAGGGACGAGTTGGGCGTCTGAGGCGAGGGTGACATGGAGGAGATCTTGCTAGGAGGAAATGAGAGCTTGTGGGCTGTCGTGGAGCCAGGTTCAAAAGATTGCAGAGAACAGAGTGAAATGGCAAGGTGCTACTGAAGCCGTATGTTCCATTAGGAACCCGCAGAACAAATAATAATGATAATAATAATATAACCTTGACATGTGTAGAAGATGATGACTGACT